TTTTCAAAGACGGGTACCAGAAGTGTCTCTAACACAATAGTTTAGGACTAAAAGTGAAAAAAGTCAAAATCGAGTACCAAAAGTGTCAATGACATAATAGTCGACGGACCAAAAGTGGCAAAAACTCTCAATAATTTTGTCAAACTAAAACAAGACATATAATATGAGACGATGGTAGTAGTTATTATTTAAAATTACATTCTTTTAGAATCTAAAATAAAACATTGTGTGATTAACAAATATTAAAACAAGTTGTTTAAAAGTATTTACATGTCATAATCTAATACAACAACATCCAAACCTTAATTTCAAATGATTTTGGAGTCTGCTAACATGAATTGATCCCTGATATCGGAGCCAAAAAGAGAAGAAATATAAGCAAAATAAAAATATAAGGTAAGTGAAATTGGATAAGATAAAGATAAATATAAGATAAAAACATGAGAACACAAGAAAGATAAAGAATAAAGAAAGAATATACAAAAGATAAAAGATAAAAATAACATAAGAAAATAGAAAGATAAAAAAAAGTTACACATGAGAGAGAGAGAAGAGATCAAACGTCCACACGAATATGCGCCCTCCACTTTGTTCTCTTCAAAGTCATACTCTCATCCAACCATAAGAAGAAACATATTACTTCTGATTCTTCTAATTCAAATCTATGTGAGTCTTCATCTCCCTCTCCTCCCCGCCTCTTCTCCCCACCTCTCAACTCATTTAACATGTGCATCACTCGATCTTCTATGTACATGACCTAACCACCACAATCGAGACTCCTGTATCTTATCATTTATAGATGTTACTCAAACCTTTTGTTTGATTTTCTCATTTCTCAAGCATACTAGCTTTTCTAGTATGTTCCCACTTCAACAGAACATATACATCTATGTCACGTACATTCATCTTTTGAATGTGACATTGTTTCACAACCTCACATTCTACACCATACATTAATGAAGGGCTACTTGAGGTCCGATAAAATCTACCCTTCAGTCTTGTTAGCATACCTCAATCACATAGAAATCCTTATACACTCTTCGATTTCATCCACCCTGCCCTTATTCTATGAGATACATCTCCATCTAACTGACCATTCTTCTGAATTATGAAGTCTAAGTAACGGAACATATCATACATTGGTATATCCATGTTATCAAGGGTAACCCGGCGGAACATATCACACACCGTTATTACACACTGGAACATACTTCTTTTCCTACCTTGAAAATCAAGCACCAGCATCATATGTTGAGTGACAATACTCTCACGTGAGATAACCTTACATTCAGTGTAGCTAGTTCTCCTAGTAGTTCATAGTAACTAGTTAATTTGAGTAATGTTAGTTCCATTTATATAGTTCACAAGGTGAGAGCTTGTTTTCTTGAACCAAGTGTTCATTGCATTCAACTCGTATGTCGATACAAAATCCAGAATGTTCTCCTTGCTTCATTTCTAGTGCCAAAAACAATATCCGCCATGGATGCTCTCAAAAACAACATGCATAAAACATATTCAAGCCCAACAAATGGTTATTGTCTTCTTAAGATAAATATTTCTACACAACAATTGTCCCCCAGAACAGAACAACTTTCGTTCTTGAAGGACTCGCTGAACCAAATGATGCACGAACGAAAGAGCTGTAACGACGAAGAAGGATGAAAAACTTTTGTGTATTTTTGGATATTTTTCAACGTTAGCGAAATCTTAGGCAGATTTTGGAATCTTGAAGTGTTCTTGCCTTGAGACACTAATCCAAAAGTGAAATTTTTTTACTATCTTAAGCAGGGTCGGTCCTAGGGGGAGGGCAGCAGGGGCGACCGCCCTAGGCTCAAGTTATTTTCTTTATATGAAATCTGAGTAGGCTTCTTTTTTATTTATAATTTCAATTAATTAATTAGGCCTAATGTGTAATTTTTTTGACAATTTAAAAATTTTAAAACATAAGTAAAAAGTCTTGAATGGAGCTAGACAAGTTTTAAAAACGAATGTAAATTTAGTTTTGATTTTTAAATATATTGGTCGTCGGTCAACACATTTATTGTGGAATCAATAAAAACACGTCTCTTCGAATCTTTTTAGTCTTTATTAAGAATTTTTATTCTTTTTATTACAAAGAATAAAAAGAATAAACATCGTACATGTGATCTTGGAAAAGATTGATTATCAAGCAATTTTCGATGATTTTACTTCACAATGTTTTTTGTGATACTTATGTTGTTACTTTTGTCCAAATATGTATTTCAAATAACATGAAGGTGAATTTCATCTTTATTTTATAACCTTTATTAAATAGTTGTAGGAGAAATCCTGAAATAGAAGTTATTTTTTTTAGAATTCCAAAAAAGATTGTCATGCATTTATTTTCTGAATAGGGGCAATTATTGTCATGTTCGGAAAATACTACCATGTGTAATGTCTGATACTGTCAAAATATGACATTAATTACTTCTATTTGAATGATAAAAACATGATAATCTTAGTTTGGAATATACACACGTTTTTAGTCATATTTAGAGTATTTTCTCATAGTTTTATTATACTCCGTAATTTTTACTTTAAGTAAGTTCAATTTCCTATTTGTTTTGGAAATAAGACCAAAATAGTATATCGCTTATAGACCCAAAACTGGACAGGACCGGCCCTGATCTTAAGCCACACAAGCAAGTACCGCATGCATAAGAGAAACCGGACCTGATGGATCGATGACGGTGCACTAGTGAGGTGTAGTTCCATACTTACCGTATGCGGATCTTCCCTCCTTACAAAACTCAAGTGCCCCATGAGGCCGAACCCAATAACAATAGTTGGAATATAAAAAAGCTTCAATATTGCCTAAAAATGTCCATTTGGGATACTTCCTACACACAACTACCTTTAGGAAAAAATTGGTGGATAATTTATCATTCATTTCAAAATGGTTTCCACAACTTAATATATTAATTTCCACCTCATAGTACAATATGTTAGGACTTGGTCTCATAAAAAATGAGTATCGAACCCGCCCCTTACATATTTTAGGTCCAAAGTGACTAAATATTTAACAAAGGGTCATGTTGTCTCCTTATAAGATACTCCCTCCGTCCCTATATAAAAGTATCCATTCGTTTTCCACACATTTTAAGAAAGTGAGTTTGGTTGGTACTGTTTGACACTGTTTGGACACTCTTTCACACTGTTTGGTACTGTTTTGCACTGTTTTGTTTGCCAAAAAAGGAAAGGAAACTTTTTTTAGGGACAGCCCGAAAAGGAAACAAATGCTTCTATTTAAGGACGGAGGGAGTGTTTGTGACTCTCACTATTGTCGCTCTTTTCCATTTGAGCTACCTTGTGTTAATTTCATGTTTTTGTGTCAATACCTCGATTTAGTTGTATAATATGTATCACATAATGGATATAAAAAATGCAAAGGAAAGGATTGCTTTTATATGGTTTTTTTGAGGTTGTTGGGTCGGATACCTGATCACGAGAGTCTAGGATACCGGATCGAGAATCCTTGATAGTAGCTACCAAAGTATTGAAATCTAATCATATCCGATCAGGTTGATTATACTCGATCGGGTGTATAACTAAATATGATATGAAGCACCATGTGATCCCAACTAATCGGAAGGGTGTTCCCAAGAACCTACCCCTAACTCTTGAGATAGCCATTCTTGAGTTAGTAAACTATTCCAATCTGGAGGGTCCAACCAGTGTTTGTATAAGCGTGATCTAAGTTTCATACCCAACTACGACGTACTTGGAGTCTCCCTAGCTGAAACTGGCAAACTGCTAATTACATCTCTTTTGGGCATTGCTTTAGGAGGATCATCACTTAGCCAAACGGGGAATTACTAACTGTAATGTCTTTTTCAATATTTCCAAACTTCCTTATCTTATAATAAAGGGTGCTATTGCTTTGGAATTCAAGGCACACCTCGTAGAAAGAACTCTACTACTTGGATCTATGAGTAACCTAAGAGGCTAAGAGTAATAATAGAGTGTTTTACATTGCTTAATTAAAAATAGTGTTTTTCAACTTTAGATTTGAAAATATATTTCCAAAAATTATTTTCTACTTAAATTAACAGTTTAGCTTTGTTCGAAGTAAGATGGATGGATGCTTTAAAATGCTTTACATTTTTTTATCGAATAAATTACATTTTTAGTTCTATGAGTATCACACAAATTTCACAATTGATCCCCGTCTGTCATTATGAGCACTCTTAATACATGACTATTGTTTTTTAATCATAAATGACCTTTACGTCGATATTTCCGATGGTTAAAATCTTCGGAGAGGTATCGGGAATTTGGAAGAAAGGACCGCAAATGATCAATAAAAACTAATCAAAAATCAAAAGTGATCGAATAAAATGAAAGACGTGGACCAAAAATGTGACACTCATTTTGGAACAACCCAAAAATAAAAGTAAGACAAATAAAATGGGATGAGAGGAGTAAATTATAAGTGAAAAGTGAGAATCAATTTCAACCATTGAATTGATCTTGACAAATAGATGAAAGAAAATCAAAATTTAAGTAGAACATACATGTTGTGACTTTATTATGGGGGTGTTTGGTTAAGTGCCTACCAGCCATTATTTGGCTGATTTGACTGTTATTAGCCTTTTGACCAAAACAATCAGCTAATTGATGTGTTTGGTAAAATAGCTTTTTTCACTTAGCTTTTGTTTCAAACAGCCAAAATGCAAAATGCTAAAAACATTGAGGGTGTTTGGCAATGGCCGTTGGCTGTTGGCTGTTAGTCGATTTTGTTGACTGATTGGTGACGACGGATTCTGTTTGTTGTTTTGATTAATTGATAGTATTACTTGTTTATAGAACAAAGTTTGGTTAAATGATTGTTTGCAATCTGCCGATAACTTGTTAAATGACTTTTAAGGACATCAATTAATTTATTTTATCTGGTACAAAATTCGCAAATATTCTTCTTTCCTTCCCTTGGAAAATTTTCAAATGCACACAATTTATTCTTTCCTAACAATAAGGAAACTCCGAGATCATTTTACTCTTCATGATGCCCAGGTCAGTATACATGGTGAGATCCTAAACATAAATTCTTGATATTACTTTATTTTCCACCTCAAATCTATAAAGTTCACATATATATTCTAACAAAATTGACATTCAACTTATCCGATAAAGTGCATGATTTTATCAAATAAACAGGGTGGGAAATTCTCACAGAAAGGTGCAGCAATTCTCACAGCAAAACTTAAGATGCAATTAATTTAAACAAAAGATGAGAAAAGATATTATCTTCCAATAATCAGTCAGAGAAAAGAATCCAAAGCAGTTAGTTGGCGTACAAGCCTATATAGTTTGTTGTAGGAGAAGTGACGATGTGGAAGAGCTTGGCAGAGCTTCACCTCTGCGTTTTCTTTTAAGCGTAGGATGTGGAAGACGAAAAGAATAAAAAGAAGGGAGGCAGTACGGACAAGGATGTTTTTATTAATTTGCTGGTCTGGTCTGATGTGGTCTGGTCTAGTCTGGTCTGATCTTAAATTTTACTTTTTATATTTTTTACATAAAGATTTTTATTTTATATATATATTCTAATCCATAAATAATTATATTTTATTCATTATAATTAAAAATAATAATAGTAAGGGAGAACTATCAAATAGATCCTTCTACTATATCAAAAAGATCAATTAAGTCCTCGTACTTTGGAATCGATCAATTGAGTCCCCGAACTCATAAAAAATGTTCAATTGGACCGTTTAGCATGTGAAGAACAAGTTTGCCGGTTGCAAGGCTACGTGGACCTCCACTTGGCTATGTTTTTCTTTTCCGTTTTTTTCTTTCTTTCTTCTTGCTATTCGCACACTCATTCGCACCTAATAGTCTAACACCAGAGAGAAAATGAGGAATTCAGAAATTTCTCTCTTTAAGCCTCTCCGCCCATTATGCTTATTGATCTTTATTCTAAGTGAGCTTTCCGGTTCTTAAACCCCTTCGCACAAAGGATATGAACTAAATCTGGAATTGCTGCCATCTTCGGAGTTGTAGCTTGTGGCTGCCATCGCCGGAGTCGCTCCTCACTCACAAGCTAAGCGAACGGCAAGGCGCGGCCAGATCTACACAGTGGCGTCTTCCAAGATGGATGAAAATGGAGGCCGACTGGACTAAGTTGCAGAGGACGGTGAGGTAGATGCCGACACACAGCTACCCAGGTGTGGTCGAAGAGGATGCCAGCAATGCTCTGTGTGAACGGAATGGAGGAGACTAGGGAAGGATACAAGCAGTGAGTACCTTACAATTGCGTCGGCGAGTGGTGGATCGGTGGCTGGCCGTTGAGTGTCAAAAACGTCGGGAGTTGCTGCCGGAGAAGATGAGGAACGGTGGGGGAAGCTGACAAACGGACAGGGAAGAGAAAGATTAACCGGAAGACAATTTGCAAAAATAAAGAAAAATAAAAAAATAGACTGGTTGGAAAAATAAGATAAAAAAATAAAAACATTAAAAGACCATGTGGACTGTCCACGTAGACGGTCAACCGGGAAACTTGTTCTTCACCGGCTAAACGACTCAATTGAATTTTTTTTATGAGTTGGAGGACCCAATTGATTGATTCTAAAGTAAAGGACCTAATTGACTTTCACAACATAGTAGGAGAACTTATTTGATAGTTTTCGTAATAGTAATAATAGTATGGGAAAACTATCAAATAAACCCCTTAACTATTCAAAAAAATCAATTAGACCCTCCTTACTAAAAATCCGATCAATCAAACCCTCGAACTATTAAAAAAGAGGCAAATCATCTTTTTAACCGGTACCCTCCAAGTTCTCGGTCAGACTGCATACATGTCATGTGAGGTGGCTTTTTTTCCTTTCCCTTTCTTCTTCCCTGCGCTTCTCTTCTTCTCAATCCGCGCCTCAGCACCTGCAACAAAATTTCTCCTCTCTTTCTTTCCTATTTCTCTTCTCCTTCCTAGTTCTCTGCTCGTTTTTCTCGGCCTCACTTCTCCCTCCTCGATGGTGTATGCTTCCTACGCCTATTCCTCTTCTTTGCCGCCGACTAGGGTCTATAGCCGGATTGAAGCTACGAAACAGTCGAAAGGAGGAGCCCATGGCTGGTGGTACCGACGGACAAGCCCTCCGAAACCTATAAAGGAGAAGGAACCTTCAGCCAGAGTTGCTGGATGAGAAGGAACGACCTGTCCTGGTCGCTACTTTCCGGCGAGATTCTCTGAATGGCTCCTGCCTCCTGGAGCTATTAACCGACAGATGGGGTGAAGAATAGAGGACTCTTCTTAAATGGGAAGGGAGATGATAATCGGTGGTAAGGTGGGAGAAGAAAGAGGGAGTGGAACAAAGAAGATGGAAGAAGGGGGGTTTACTGGAACAGTGGAACGGGAAGGAGGAAGGTGAAGGAGAAAAGTAAAAAGAAAAGGAATAAAGAAAGAAAAAAGAAAAAATAGAAAAAATGAAAATATCCGGTGTGTTCGTACAAAATAACCGGACAATTTGTTCATTACCGGTCAAAATGAGGATTTGCCATTTTTAACTGAGCTTGAGGGTTTGATTGATTGGATCATTTTACAAACCGCTAACATTATCGTCTAATCAAAACATCCAACAGAATCCGTTATCATCAATCAGTTAACATAATCAGCCAACAGCCAATCGTCAACAACCAATTGCCAAACACCCCCTATATGTAAATATGAAGAATTCTAAATGAAAATACGGTTGCAAAATGCAATGTAATATACATAAAGTGCATACATACATAACAAAATATATCAACATCTTGAAAAATGGGTTCTATGTATGAATAGACTTCTATGTATAACAACTAGTTTAGTAACGCTCAGCGGCCAAAAGGGGGTTTTCAGAACCTGAAATAAGGCTGACCCTTTGATACGCACGGGTAAAGGCCTACTGCCGCTTTGCCGACTGAGTCACCGTGATTTACTCCCCCACCATCCTGTCGGGTCGGGGTGGGGGGGCCCTTGGGGTTGGGGATTCAACCTTTTGGACGTAGTTTAGTAACGCACGTTGTGCGTTCGTGGTAATGCCCAAGGGCATTTTAGGGACATCAATTCCTCGGTTTAGGTTGAGTGTTATATATAAGTAATATGAATACAATATTTGAATAAATAGTCTGTTATTTATTGATAAGAAATCATAAATAATAAAGTATTTATAGGCTAGATTATATGTGGGAAATAAAGTAGCCAAGATGACTATAATAATCATAATAGTAGGAGTAAGGTTGAAATGAAAGAGTAGCATGAATTTATATTGTTATATGAAAACACACATAACAAACACAAATATGTTTTGGTTGGAGAAAACAAATTATACTGATAGATAAACTAACGTATGTCTGTTATTCATATCTTATAAGGTTATACTCCGTATGTATCATTGTAATAGACTATCCTGACAGAACCTTGGGGAATCGTGATTCGCATTCTGGCTTTCTCTCTTCTTTCAATAAAGAGCATTCTCTTATACCTCGTAGAAATTAAATCATACTTTCATTATTCCTAAAAGAGTAACTCTCGGTTCCTGAATAATCTAAAACTTTTTTTTTCTAGGGAAAAAATGTTTGCAATTAAAGTCGTTTACTCGTTTCACACATTTTAACCCAAATGTCAACCATATAGTTTACTTTTCACCATACATCTTGAGAAACATGTTGAGTCAAAAAAAAGATAATTTCAATATATAACTAAGGGATCCGATAATAAATATAAATGGGGATGAGTGGTACACTCAAATATGTGGTATTTTCAGGGGGGAAAGCTGATTGTGAAAATGACTTTGTGCTAGAAATATTAAAGATATACTTCAACAAAATACACCTGATTTTGTTAATTATCAATGTTAAATTTTCATTTTATTTAAAATTTATTAAATGAACCAGGCTCATGTACACCATTAAAGTTTAAAAAGGAATCACTTCCAATACGATTAAGCAAAGAAGATAATCAGTAAATAAGGCTATTAGTTTATTTTTGAAGGAAAGATCGTTGAAAAACCTAACTAAAACAGCAGACAAGCTACAGATAGGTACAGATGGAACGTGGAAAATTATCTTACCGCAAATGAAACACGCTAAGCTCAAATTGCCAACAATCTCTCCAGCCTAAGAAAGGTTTGAAGAGTACATATAAACTTAAATTAGTCTCTGAAAGGTGGAAAACTAAACTAATAGAGTGTAATGAAATCACATGTATCAGTTATGCCAAGCATGATGTGAGGTTTGAAATTGATGATGCATAATTCGAATATCATTCTGAAATCAATTATTTTTTTTGACAACCATTCCAAATCACTATTTAAAAAAATTGTACTCAAAACTATTGGTTGAGCTGGACAACACAATATGACAAGCTTCTGATATAACATCACTTTCAGAACTACACGCACCCCAACAGCTCATTCAGGAAATGGACACGTTATCATCTTTATATCTTCTCTCTATCTTATTTATCTTTGCTGTTTTCTCAACACTGAGAGAATCAAAGGCAAACTTTTTCCCAGGAAGCTACAAAGCTTCAGTAGTGAAGAAACAAGCCCAGGCAGCCTTCTGACCCAAAGTTGCCATATGAAGTGAAGTACTTCCCCCAAATTCTTGACCACTTTACTTTCTACCCAGAGGCTACAAAATCTTCTACCAGAAGTACCTCATCAACAAGGACTGTTAGCAGGGAGCCCCAATCTTTGTGCACACTGGAAATGAAGGAGATATTGATTGGTTTGCTGCAAATACTGGTTTCTTGCTTGATATTGCTCCAAAGTTTCATGCTTTTCTAGTCTTTATTGAAGTATGATATCTCCCCTCAACTCAAAATTATACAAAAGTAACTCTTAATAATTTTTTTTATAAAAAGATCTTTTATCAGTTTATGTATTCTGTAGGAACTTTATTATTATTATTATTATTATTATTAGTTCCTAGGCTAAATTTTCTCTTTTGCTAGTACTATAAATACTCCAATCTTAGTCACAGTCCAAAATTATAACACTAACCAAACAACCACTGGTAAAGATCAGACATGTGCTTACATAGTACATACTGTCTAATTTAGAAAAGTTATTTTGGAATCATAGTATATAAATTGTCCTGGTCCAGCTCTTCTTTACCCAAAAATATGAAAAGAGAAAAACAATGTCCTCATCACTCCAGTTGATCTCAATTCAATATTATAGTTCTATTTAGGGAAGTCTTTCTAAATTGAGATATAATTACAAATGATCTGTGATTAGGACTTACATAAGGCCTGTTTCCCTATAAGGAAATGTAAATAGCTGAATCTAAATTGAGCCAAAAAGGTACATAGAAGTTGAGCAACTATATTTATGTTGACTAATGAGGGATGACCAAGACCTCCCCTACATTACTCACTAAAGTTGGTTTAGAGAGATGTTGGATTAATGAAATTCCTAAACTTGTGTGCAACTGTTATTTTTCAATCCTTATAAATTGTAAGCTCTCTAGATTTCTCAAATCATATGTGGCCTACGTTTGTGGTATTGGGTGTATGCCTCCAAAGAATCCCTAAATCATATGGTACGGTGTACCTTATTTTCTATTCTGTTATCTTATTTTCTTTTAAGGCTAAAAACTACTTGATTTCATGTGGACATTTAAACAAACATATAGATGACACAATTATAGAGGGGAAACTACATATTTGCAAAATGGATTCATCAACTCAAGCCACCCAAACTACTTTTACAAACAATTTTGGGAGGCCGTACAATAGAACCACACTTTGGGAGGCCAAAGAATTGAATAAATCAAAAGCCAAAAAAAATATTCATGGATAGGGAAATAATCATGCTGCTGAGAGTAATAGTAATGTAACGATTGTTGAACAGAGGAAAAACTTACAAGAGTGCAACAGAAAGAAGTGGAAAATCTTCTGAATAGCTGCGAGCCTGCGACAGATTTCTTGGCCGGGAAACGGAGAAGAGGGGGTGAAAGGGTAACGGGTCTCAAAGATGAAATAATGAAATGGACTCATGGAGTAAAAGAGCTGTGAATGGAATGACCAAATAAAATAAACGGCTTGAAAATATAACGATGATCTCACCTCCGTTGGCAAAGGACGCTTCAAGCATGTGAATGATGTACAATAAAGTAAATATAAAGTACAATCAGATTATACATGAAGAGACACCAACATTTTTTATGACCGTTAAATCCCTGACAAAATTACCTCTTATAATATGGTAGATAGAGATGTTCTTTGTAATGTAAAACTGTTCGAATTAAAGTTCCATAATTCTGATTTTATCATCGCTTCTTTTGATTAAAAATTTACCTAGTTTATCCATTTTCAAGTGAACAATAGACCAATGATCGAATTACTTTTTAAAAAATGATTGAATTTTCAATTGAACATTTACACACACACATACATATATTAATTAGTTGGAGTTGTGACTAATTAAAGATTATAAAACTGTTAGACTGAATATATGGAGTGAAAGTTTGGTGGAGGTAGAGGTAGTAGCAACAGTGGGATTACTCTTGATGGTATGGAGATACCGGTGTGTGATGTGTTCCGTTACTTGGGCTTCATAATTCAGAAGGACGATGAATCAGATGGAGATATATGACATAGAATCAGAGCTTCGTGGATGAAATGGAAGAGTGCATCAGGATTTCTATGCGATCGAGGTATGCCGACTAGACTGAAAGGTAAATTTTATCGAACAACAATTAGGCCGGCATTAATGAATTGTGTAGAGTGTTGGTCGGTGAAACAATTCCACATTCAAAAGATGATTGTGACAGAGATGCGTAAGTTGCGTTGGATGTGTGGACATACCAAAAAAGATCGCTTGAGGAATGAGATAATCAGACATAAGATGGGAGTAGCACCTATAGAAGATAATATGTAGGAGTCTCATTTGCAGTGGTTTGAGCATGTGGGTAGAATACCGAGTGATCCACCTGTTAGATGACTTGAGGGGTGGGGAGAAGAGGCAAAGAAGAGAGGGAGGGGAAGACCCAAACAGACTTGGATTAGAGGAATCAAAACTGATATACGTCTTCTTGACTTGGATGATTGATGTCTTTTCTACCTTTCCTCTCTCTTCTCTTTTATCATTTATTTTCTTTATCTTTTTATATTCTAATGTTATTTTTATCTTCTAGATTTTTTATGCTCTTTTATCTTTCTATCTTCTATCTTTCTTATATTCTTAAGTTATTGTTATCTTATATTTATTTATCTTTATTTTATCCGTTTATCTTACTTTTTTTCCCTTCTTATCCGTCTTCTGAGTTTGGCATCGATATCATAGATTGATTCATGTTAGCTGACCCCGAATTCTTTTGGGATTAAGGCTTTGATGTTGTAAAATAACTGAAATAATTATTAAAACTTATATTTTTGTAGTAAAATAAGAGATTTTGTGTTTTTTAGTCTCTAAAAAAGTTTAAATATTTAAAATTAATTTTTTATAGTAGGAATATAAAAATATAAGTTAATAGCAATAGATTAATTATTGATTAAACTATGTTCTTATGAAAAAGAGGAGAAAATAAATTGGATTGACAAACATATCTAACCAAATTTTAGAAAAATGTTCTTAGAGTCAGTTTTTTTTGTGATTCTTAATTGTCACATAACTTTATTTTAATACTCTCTAATTATTTAATGACTCTCAACCATCATCTTCAAATAATCATGTTTTTTTATATTCACCGTATG